AGACTGAATCTATCACTGTGTGAGTTTCATCTTCTGATTCGCCATTTTGACTAATTATTCCCGTAAGATGCTTGTTCAAATATTGAACGAAGTGGTCTGTCTCCACGCTTTACAGCTTATCGTGTGTTCTAAAGAAACTTACAATTAACAGTAAAAAAGAGCGTTTACTCGACACTATGCGTACATACATCACAATTGTATATCACTGAGAAGAGTTTGTATAATTAACAAAATGCAACTGGAAAGTGAAAAAAGTCCCAAATTATTTGGCACTAATCAGCTCTGGAGCACGTCCACCTATTTCTAACATGCTGCCCTGAAAAGAAAAGAAAAAATAGAGAAGCAATTCAGAAAGAGTTCATATGAACCAAAAAAAGCTTACATTATATACTCGTGCTTGCTTTCCTGCATGCTTAAGGGCTAATGCAAGCAATGACGCTTGAACACCTCCATTACATGCTGTTACTATTGGAAGGCTCGGATCATACCCAACGTTTTTCAGCGCTAAAATGTTAAAATTTGCTTATCCTATGGATAAAAACTATAAAAAACGTAATGTTTACCTTGCAGAATTACTTCCTTAGGCTTCAATCCATCATCGCTGGCAACTTCGCCCAGTGGCACGCTCTTGGCGCCATTTAAATGTGATCCAGTGGGACCTAAGTTATATGAGTTTTCCTCTAAACCATTAGAACAAGTTAAAAGCACTAGCTCAAAGCTTTGAACATGTTTTTTGTTTGAAAATCATATGCCTTTTACGCATCCGAGAAAATTTCAAAAAATGCAGTTTTTAACAGTCACAAAAAGGGATCGCATGGGCATTTGAAGAAGGAGAGGAGCAAAAAAAGATACCCTCAAAAAAATACCCTCAGTTACACTTCCGTTCCCATTTTCTCCCAATCAATATGACGTAATTTTGCATCTTTTTTTGCCAGGACACGGACAATTTATAAATGCAGTTTTGAAAAATGAGGCAGAAAGGAGCAAACAGGAGAGGTAGAGAGAGGGAGGGAGAGGGGGGGAGGAAATAAGGTTT